GCGCTGCCGATACACCTGATGATCATCCTGCTGTCTGGAGAGACCCTGACAGACTGAAGAAATGGGCCAACAGGAACTTCATGAGGTTCAACAAGGAGACGTGCAAGGTCCTGAACCCGGGGAGGAACAACGCCCTGCATTGCTGTGTGGTGGGGGCTCCTCAGCTGGAAAGCAGCTGGGCAGAAAATGGCCTGGGGGTCCTGGCACACACAAAGTTGAACATGAGCCAACAACGTGCCCTTGCAGCAAGGGAGGCAAATGTGTCCTGTGCTGCACGGGACAAAATATTGTCAGCAGGTCGAGGGAAGTGACCTTTTCTCTCTCCTCAGCACTGGTGAGGCCACACCTGGAGTCCTGTATCTGGTTCTGAGCTCAAGTACAAGACAGAGGTGGACATACTAGAAAGAGTTCAACAAAGGGCCACAAAAATGATGAGGGAATGGGATCGCCTCTCTTATGAGGAAAGGCTGTCAGAGCGGCGACTGTTCAGCCTGCAGAAGAGAAGGTTCAGGGAGGAATCTTACTAAAATATACAAAGACCTCTATAAGGAGGGTGGTAAGGGCTGTGGAGCCAGGCTCTTTCCAGTGGTGCCCAGTGACAGAACCAGAGGCAACGGGCACAGACTGAAATGAAAGAGTCTCTGTCTGAACATCAGGAAACACTTTTTGTTGCGAGGGTTGACTGAGCACTGGTGCAGGTTGCCCAGGGAGGTTGTGGAATCTCCATCCATGGAGAATACCCAAAAGCAATCTGGACATGGTTCTGGACAACTTGTTGCAGGTAGTCCTGCTTCAGCAGAGGGGTTGGACCAGATGACCTCCAGAGGTGCCTTCCAACCTCAACCAGCCTGTGATACGGTATCTATTATATGTAATATATTACCAAAATGATGTGACTTCAGTTTTTTCAATTAGAGTATTTTTTCTTTATAAACCTTTTGCACACCACCAGGGAACACCTGGCAATTGTGGGAGAGGGGAATAATATCCATTCCTACTGCACTCAGTTGCAAACACCAAGACATGTTAAGTTCAGAGCGGGCCAGTCCACATTTAGCTTTCTATTGCCTCTGGTGCTTCAGAATACAGCTGACGGTAAAGTCAGTACACAGGGATACATCTATGCAGTAGCTCACTGCCAGTGCTACTACTTCCCAGTGATGACATTTTTTAGCAGGAAGCATTTACTTAGAGTGTAACCCACAGGCAGAACCAATGCAACTGAACTCAGTGCTGAAGAAGAAACAACAAAACTCTGCCTCCCCTTCTTGTGTATGTTTTCAAAGCTCCTACACATACAGACATACATAGGTTTTACCTTGCTGATGTGCTCTGGTGCTTGATCTGGCTGATGGCTGAACTCACCACCTATCTGGAGGTCACTGACGCAGGAAATAGAGTCTCTCAGCTCAGTGAGCTTCTGGCTGCCCAGGACCAGGACTGTCTGATAGGGTTTGTGATCTTTATGCTACAAAGAAAATAGCACACAAGCTTCAAAAAATCACTTGTCAGCACCAGTACTGCTCTTCAGCTGACAGCTTGCGGTCTTCAATGGCAGCATACGGCACATCACCTCTCTGCGCAAGACTCCAAACGTGATCTTGCTTCAGCCTCTCCTAAGGCTGCCATTTATTAGTTTTACTCAGAAACTCAAACGTCACAATCTCCACCGGAAAGCACAAGAAAGACAGAAAGTCTTAGCACACCTACCCCAATTCCAGAAAGAGTACTTCAGTTTTCATGTACACAGTTTCAGATTTTGAGCTTCCTGTGAAATCAGTTATTTGCTGAGTAATTATTGTAAAAATTTCCTTCTGTAAACCACTAACAGAATGAAAGCCAGATCCTGAAAAATTCTTAAGAAGTTACCACAGTTCAAGGGTTTACCACACCCCCTCAGTGGACTCACTGATTTTAACTGCTTGGGAAAGTAAGGTATTCCTGCAGTAGGAAAGAGACATCAAAATGCCACCTGGAGAATTTAGTACCAACCTTCTGAAATATGGCAGGATAGAAGATATTCACAGTTAAAAGTAGTTCTCCCTCTTCAACTAGATCTGTTGGATTGTCTGGCCTCTTTCCACTTGCATGTGACTCCTGGAAAAATAAAGGTAAATATATATTGTACTGGTAATCACTTATGTATCACAGCCCCTGGATGAGAGTCTGAGAAACTCTGTTCTCACTGTAACAGTTTTGACTGTGTACCCTTCTGAATTGCTAACAGCCTACCTTCTCCAAGACGGAAAGGTGAGAAACTGCTGTAATTACTGATTTCAAACATCTTCTTTCAGTCCTGAGGCTCTGGAGAAGCTGAGGTGCTTTCAGCTACAATGAGATAGCTGTCTGTGCATTGGCTACTGAGAAGCCTTGCATAAAAGAATTAAAGCCTGCTGCCACTCTGCCCTGACGGAACCCAGCTGCTACCAACTTCCATCACTTCATGTTCTGAAATGCTCTTTGAACACTTTCATAAGTAAAGGGAGACTGCAACCCTCAAACTTGAGAAAGGCTGGCCCAGAAACCAGCCATAGGACAAAGTGTATGAAAATAAGAATTAGTGCAATGCTTCCTCTTATTAGGGAGCTTGACGTAGCTGCAGGTCTCAATTTCTCCAAAATCCAGACACAAAGTCCAGCATTGCCCTTGCCATACTACTTTTCCTTAGAAGAGCGACAGCATTCCCACATTTCCATCCTACTTAGGCTGCAAGCTGAACGCAGCTGTTGCATCTCAGCTGCTGCATGGTGCTTACATAATGTCCCTGGGCCTCTGGGCAGTTGAAACAAGATCACTCTTGACAGGCCAGGAAACCTCAAGGGGAAAAGATGCTTAATAGTCACAAGTGAAGCTCCTTCCTCACTGCCCCTCCATCCCTGATTTTTAAAGTAGTTCTCAGCTTGCTTGTCCAAGCCACAGACCACAGCACTGTGAAATGTAAGAGCTTTATGTTTAGAACTTTAATGGTTGTGAAAAAACCTTTAATTAAAAAAAAAGGTACTAAGCATGCTTAAAGGAATTCCAAGATGGCTTTTGAGGGGCTGATACTACACTCCTGGTTCCTGACAGCTCAGAATGGCTGAGAAACTTGGGTTACAAAGCTCAGAATCAGGAACTTCCTACCACCATGCTCCTACTGTCTTCCCCTTTCAGCCCTACAGGAACTGGTTCACAATCATTTACGCATGAAAAGCTTAGATCCCAACACAGGCAAAAACATGATGCATTTTGTCTAGCTCTACAGTAAGTTCACATGATTTTTAGTATACTTGATCCCCTGCACAATGCTTTAGTAGCAACCAAATGAAAGCAGTTATAGTGCGATGGTGAGCTGGAGTTCCTCTTTCTACCTTCAGTATGAAGAGACTAAGAGCAGAGTTCCTGTCCTGTCTTTCAATAAAATGTCCTTAATCTTAACCATTACCTGCAAACATTTACAGCGTACAGGGATTCACAGCGATGGGGAAAAAAACAAAGCGCCAAAGTTGGACTTTGGCTGTGCTGAACTGTCTTGAGATCCTACGAAATGTCAGGGCACTTACCATCTCATAAGCAAGAGTTTCTTGTCTGCAAGACCGATCCACAATAATTGTTTCTTTTCTCCGCTCTAATACCTTCTTTCTGATTCTGAGGGGCAGAAACACAGGACAAGATTTTATTCAAAAACTTCCATCAGAATCTCCAGGCATATTTTTAAACAACACAAGCTACTACAGAGCAGCTCTCAAAGAGCAGATTCCTGGCTGTCTTAGTACTACACCCTAACTTACAATCCTCTTGTCCCCTGGCTCCCACCATCTGGTAGCACACAGGCCAGCTTGTCAATTTCAGCTTCTGTTTTTCCTTCCCCTTATGCACAAATTAGAGGTTGGTTGTGGGCAGTTTTACACTTAGGAGAAAAAAAACAACCATCCCTCCCACTTCAGACAAATTATAAAAAAAAAAAAACCCACAATCATTCTCGACACCAGGACAAACACTTCTTTAGAAAACTTCAGTATCATTTGTAGAAGAGAGAATCATACATAGAACATCTACTAAAATACATGTATTTAACACCTGCATGAACACTAAATCGTTTTTAACTTCCAGAACAAGACTGTTTACCCTCCAGACCTTCCTGAAGGTTTTCAGTAACAATCAGACTTGACACTGATCACATTCCCTTACATTAGTACCATGCAAACTGAAATTCAAACACAGTAAAGGCCTGAACTGGCCAAGAATGAGTACAAAGTTCACTAACTGATAGAAACTTCACACAGGTTGCTCAGCCTCTGAAATGCACCAGTAGTATCAATGAATTCTGTAAGGAGTGGGCTCAGATAAAGAGGTATCTGGCTACAACTTCAGTACTTACACTTTGGCAGTTCCAATGTGACTGTGGGTGACCAGAGGTAAAGAGCTACAGATCTGTATTTCACAAGGCTTTGGAGAAACCTCCACCACGATTATGAGAAGTCCCCTGCACACTCCCATTTTAGATGCCAGTTCAGAAGTACCCAAGTTCAGAAATCCCAAGTTCTTCCACTAAGAAAAATGACATATCCTGTATATCTAATAAAAAATTCCCAAGTAACATTCAAGCAAAAGACTCATACCAATCCTCCTATTATAAGCTGGTGTTTCTGCCCTTAAGAGTATTTCCAGACACTGTTTCAGAAAGTACACCACTGCCTTGGAAAGGAACAAGCAGCCAGAATTGGTTTTGTGCTTGTTTTCCACCCAACCCTGTACCAGGGTACTGACCACCACATACCGTAGGGTTAGCAGACTGCTATCTTCAGGAATAGCATCTGGGTCCTCTTCTTTATCGGAAGACATTAACATATCAATGCTAGGACAATAAAGAAAATAACTATTACACATTTTTTTCATACTTTTTTCCATACTTTTCATTTTCAGAATGAAAATCAGTTAAGCTATTCTTAAAAGGAACAAAGGCAGCAAAATGTGAATAAACAAGATAGAGCCTGTATAGCCTAAATCAGGGTAAAAGGGCAGTATGGTTGTTAAGATAAAAAAACAGGAGACAAAGAGTCCTGGAGTTTACTCCTGGCTTTCATGGCAATTGGGTAAATTCTCTTTATTTTGCATTCTGCCTAATGGAGCATAGCTGCCTACAGAGGTTTAACAAGCCTCATTCAACATGTGTGTCCAAGACTTCTTATAAACTAAAAATGCCGCTTTTTCAAATCGCATCCACCTACTCCGATTTTCTGATGAAATATGGCAGACAGATTCAACCAAAAGGAATCATCAACCTAAACCTGTAGGGTAAAGCTAATATCCCTCTTGGGGTACCTAGGCAAGCTATCACATCTACACAAGCTGTCACTGCTGTAATAAGACATCAATTTATGCCACATTCCTTCCAGTGGGAACAAGACAACACTTTCGCCAAAAGTGACAGGATCTTGTACCCTTCTTTCCATACTCAGACCCTTTTCACCCTTGCTATTCTTGTGTTTGCACAGAATTCAAAGTATGGCTAACCAAAATTTTTTACTGTAATGCAAATCACTGCAGGACTGGGGAAAAAAAAGTGGAACTGCTTTTGGCTACAGCAATTATTTAAACTGATCATACAAATGTTAAGTTTTCGTAACATAAATCAGGATGGAATTTGTCATAAACACACCACAAAAAAATGAACCTGTCAGATACCATAGCTGCTCCCCTGCTGAAGTTTCAGAACATAAGGTTCCCCCACTCTGCAAACAGACCAAACAGTCCATCTGAAGGCTTCAGATTAGACATAATAATAGTATAAATCACCTTTTTAGAAACACAGAAAACAATGCTGACTCAAAAAGAGTAATAATTTTGTTTCAACCACAAAATAATTTTATCCAACTTACAAATAATCTGAGAAAATATTATTTAAAACAGAGAAGTATCATTTTCTTTGAAAGCGACAATCTCATCTGTCTTTCTGATTGCAGACTATATAAAGGCAGAGTTTATACCACTGTCTAAATCCATGTGCAGTTTGAATCCCAGCAAACTCTTGTGCAAACCCATCTCTTTATGAGACAAACAAACCATTGGTGAAGTCCAGGAAAAGATTTTGGAGTGTACCATTTATTCTCGTTATAATTTATGATTTGATTATATTCTTTTTCATTATAATCTTATAATGTTCCCCATAATCTTATAATGCTCCCCATAATCTTATAATGCTCCCCATGCCAACAATACTAAGCTAGGTAATACTATCACTGCAGTAATTAATAAGCCTTTAGAGTGGAACTGCACAGGAATATGCAGTAATTGAGAAATAGAAGTCTGGGATCAACTCGTATCAGCTGACAATAAGCAAAAGTCAGAGATAAAATTTTGGTTGTGGGTCGATGGCCTAGTTCTGACAACCCAATAAAGTCACCGTGTACTGAAGATAATTTGAATTAACTATTGTAATATTGAATTACTGGTTTCTTATCATCCAGCAGTACACCAAGAGTTCTTAACCTTCCTGTATTACAGATTTCATCCCAAACAGAAAATCATTCTTCTTATGTTACTGAGAAAAGGGGATTCCTTCAGAAACACCATTTAATAAAGAAACTATGCAGCAATTAGTTACAACCTCTTGGAAACATACTCGACCTTATCCTCAGATTCCCACTTGAGGAAGTGGAGGGTCCTGTACCAAGCGCAGAACCATTGCTGAGGAACAGTAATTTAACTAACAAAGGAGGATAACAGCACTTTGTAAAACACAAAGCAAGCATTAACCTTTTTAGATGGGGCTGTTCTCTGTTCAGCACAGATTAGTGTTATGAATAGCCCACCTAACCAAGTGATGTGTAGCCCCTGCCTCATAGGTAGAGCAACTCACAACTGAGCCTTCTGCGGGATCAACATCTCACCAGCTGGACGAGACTATGTATTCAAGTCTTCCTGCACATACATCAGTGACCCCATTCAACAAAAAAGCCCCCAGTCACTTGAATACCTGCCATTTTGCAGAAATGACTGTATTTTGTTCTTTGATCACAACATTTTCAGGATCTAAAAAGTCTATTACAAGTAATTTCTTGTGACTCGTTGTGAAGTTTCACCTGCATCAAAGGTGAGTTTCCCATCTTCCTTCTACGCATACATACACACCATGTCAGCACTCACCAACAATACTTGTGCTTTCCTGCACTCCCACGGCTCTAGGCCAGGGATCTCTGGCTGTGGTACCCACACCACTAATTGCCTGCTGCAGGGAAAACTACTAACATTCTCCAGAAAGCAGCCCCAAGCAGACACTTTGTAAAATAGTTGGCAGGTAAGCTGCTTCCTCTTTTTCCTTCTAAGGACAGAACGGCAGCTAGTACAAAGAGAAACTGCCACTGAACCCCTGACACGTTCTGTGGGCCCTTACAGGCCCAGATACTGTCGTTTCTCACTCCTGGAAAGTCAGACACCCTCCATTTTTAATGTAATCTTACACGTGGAGCACCTTTTTCAGTGTTTTGAATCAGGCTAATAATTCATGATGTATGTCATTGTACCACATGCACTGAAGCCTTGGGAGGCTTTGCTGTACAGCCTTCTACAGAAGCCACATCGGAGCTCCTCCGGGGTAGCTCCACGGCCGCCAGTGAAACCCCATCACTAATACCAGGTGCACAGCCCTGAGGAAACCAGGCTTCACAAATGGAAAGTACAAGCAAACCCCTCCAGAAATTAAAGCCGAGTAGTCAGTGTCCCATACCTCACAGACAGGTGAGCAGACAATACAAAGTTTGCACCGGGCACACCTCACTCCTGACAGCCACAGGCATGGGAATCCACTGTGCCCCCACACAGAACATTCCCTGCACACAAGACATGTATATTCAGTGCACTCAGTTATGGCACAGGGAAAAACACTGGCCACGCTGTTTAATGGACACTGAGGTGAACCGTAGGAGGGTGACGAGGAATGATATTTGAAGGTCTCGCTTTGAAAAAAGCATGCAAAGTGTTTATCCCCTAGAAAGCTGTTTTAAGGCAGCTCGACATTAAAAGGCCAAAGGCAAGTCTGAGGAAACTTGGGCATGGAAACGGAGTATCAGGGAAGCCTTTAATCACCGTGACTTTACTTTTTCTCAGAATATTCTGGCAGCACAACGAGCTTTCTCAGTTTCACAAATTAGAAGATGCTTTAGTATTTTGCCTGATATTTCCGTAGTAAGCCGATACAGTGTTTATATTACCCTTTATATTGCATACATTTTAAGGGCAGTACTTTCATCACCTTTGAGACACTAATACTACAAGACGATAAATACTAATACGTTAAGACGCTAATGCGAGCTTAATGCAGCTTTATAACACGTCCCTAGAGATATTTACAACTACCCCTTCTAATAAAACAAGAAGGTGAATTAGGGCTGAAGTGGAATCAGGTACCTGTAAGCCTCACCTCCCCTGACCTACCTAAAATCCACGCTGATGAGGGTCTTAGCCCGTCCTACACGTACACATCAAATCACTCAGAAGGCAAAACACAGTAACATAACTTGGTGTCTCCAACATTCAAGCCTTTCAATCGTTCAAACGCCAATAACGAATCCCAAGGAAAAACCTTTTTTGCTCACAAACCGCTAAGGTGTTTGAACAAAACTTACAACTTCACCCTCCTGGCCCCTTCGTTATTTAAGGGAGCTACTAATGCAATCAGTAAGGACACTGTTTCACACCTGTTTAGAATCTGATGAAAGCCCAAGCCAACTCTGTATCTACTGCCTGCATAAAACTTGAGCAGAACGCAAAGAATTCTTACTGAGTCAAATTCAAGTGGGTGAAGATGGAAATTCTCTTCCTGCATTCTGTTTGCAGGAATGTATTACAGGAATAAAATAGAAGGGCGGGGGAAGGGGGGAAATACCCCACCAACCAACCACAGCACACTGAGATGCACAGTTAGACAGCATTTAAACATTATACCATTTCTTCTCAGCAGAAGACCCTAAATTATCAAGACTACTTAAACATACACTGAAGACACTGAAGGAAAAAACAACAAGAAAAGCTCACTATATAGTGCAATTCTAGCTATGTTTACCAAACGATGCCTTCTGCATAATTTCTGAGACTATACTCAATTTATTCAGTGCACGAAAGTGAACAACCCCCATACTGCATTTGAAGTAGGTCATAAATACTTCTGTGCC